CGGACCCGAAACGTTGACTCTGTTTTCTCCTCCACAGATGCTGCCAGTCCTGCTGAGCTTTTCCAGCAACTTTGTTTTTGTTCCTGATTTACAGCATCCGCAGTTCTTTTGGTTCACATTTTAATGACGTTTGTAATGAACAGAAACCAAAATACCATAAAGGCTGGAAAACTGAAACTGAATAGAGAAACCCTGGAGAAACATGCAGCAGGTCTGATAATATCTGACAACTGAGAAAGGGTTAAACACCCAAACATTTTCTTTGCTCTTACCCGAAATCCTCAGATAGCATTTGTTATCAAGAATTTTAAATGGCTGTACCATCATTGAAAATTTTCCTTTTCATTCTTTTGGTGATTAACCGTGGTCGACATTATTAACCAGAAAGTGCTGAAGAAACTCAACAGGTCTGGTAGCATCTAAAGAAGAGGTTTAGTGTTTTGAGTCTTGATAGGACTATGCTTTGGAACTGTAAAAATCTGCTGGGTTTCTCTAGTGCATTTTATTTTTACTTCAAGTCTCCAACATTCACAATATTGTGTTTCCATCTTATTATTGAAGTTTTGGCAAAAAGTAGGAGCAATTCATCATCTTTTAAAATGTTGAAACTTGTCAAAGATCCGATTTATTTTGAAAAAAAAGCTGAGATTTTAAATTCTAAAGTGTTATCCTCCACTTGACTTTGGTTCACAACCGTAATGATTGGAATTCTTTTGTTGTATGCAGAAGCCCCAACTGAATTCTAACCAATGACCTCAACTTTGTATTTAGTACAATGTCTTTGTTTTAGTATTTGCAATTCCAATGACCTTTTTTTTGTTTTTTTTAAAATGTGCATCCAATTCAGATCTTTGCACTTTAGGAAGTAGGGAGGGTCATTCAGACAGTTCAGAGAGATTTACAGGAATAGTTCCAGGGATGAGGGATTTTAGTCACAAGATTGGATTGGAAAAGTTGATCTTGTTCTCCTAGAAACAAGGGAGACCATGGGGAAAGTTTGGAAGATTACAAGGCTCTATTTCTTTGTTTCTAATTTATTACTGTGATTTTGTACTTCTGAAGGTCTGTAATTATGGACTTTTTATTTCTTTATTTTTCTATTTTTTTTCCTAAGAATTTGTACTCCAGAATCTGTACCTAGATACCCTGTATATAAGATGGTGCCATAAGTAGTGACTTGTACAATTTTCACTGTGCTCATGTGAGTACATGTGACAATAAAGCTAATTCAGTTCAATTCAAGACATATACCTAGACAAAGGTAAAATCTGTTCCCATTGGGTGATACAGATTTAAAGATTTGGGCAAGAGACACGGGGGAGTTTTTCTTTAATGCAGCGCACAGTAATAGTGTGAAACATACCACCCACCGAGGTGATGCAGACATGATGGGCTCAAAGGCCTCCTAATGCACTGTAAAGGTTCTGTGATTCTGTTAGTCACAAGGAAATTGGGTTAGCATTTAAAGGAAATAAACGTGCAGGGCAATGGGGATGGAGCAGTGAAGTTGAATAGCTCCACGATAAATGGCATGGACTTGATGGGCACAGTGGTCTCTTTATGTGCCATAAATGGATCCTATCAATGATCTGCTACATGGGCGCTGGGATCTTTCTGTTGTCGCATTCATTTAAGTAGTAATTATCATTCTGTGGTCTTGGCTAAGTTTTATTATCTGGCACCAGATTAGTACACATTTTCTCTATTCCTCCTCCTCCTTGAATGTGCCACCCATTGATTGCTGGGAAAACTTGACATGCAAATTTCTGAATACAATGTAGGAAAGAATGATTATTGAGCCGGTGCCTTCGCAATTCAAGACATTTCAAAGCCAGCTGTGTACTTTGAAACTGCAGATGCTGTTGCATTGCGGGAAAACATAACCCCAGTTTGCACAGAGAAGATCCCACAATCAGCAAGGTGATCAATAACCAGTTAACTTATTTTCAGTGAATTTACTTGAGGGATAAATGTTTGCGAGGTAGTGGAAGAAGTACCATGCTCCTCTTCCAAAATATTATGGAATTAATTGTATGCTGTCGAATGCAGTCGGGTCTCAGCTAAATATAGAATAATAGAATGGTTGCAGTATAGAAAAAGGGTATTTTGTCTAAAACAAAAACAAAGTTGCTGGAAAAGCTCAGCAGGTCTGGCAGCATCTGTGAAGGAAAAAACAGAGTTAACGTTTCGGGTCCAGTGACCCTTCCTCAGAACTATTTTTTCCTTCACAGATGCTGCCAGACCGGCTGAGCTTTTCCAGCAACTCTGTTTTAGTTCCTGATTCACAGCATCCACAATTCTGTCGGTTTTTATTTTGTCTGTAACACTCTCTGAAAGAGCAATTCACTCAGAGACACCTCTGTTTTACCTTCAGTCCAGCAATCTTTAGCTGAATCCCTGAAAGATGGTACCTCAAATAGTGCAACAGTCCATCAGAACTGCTTTGTTCATGTGCACAAACCTCGGAATAGGACTTGAACAGACAACTACTGACTCAGACTGAAATGCTATTAGCAAATTAAATGCTGATGCTTAGCAGGTGAATGATCACTGCACCCTGTTTCCATTTTAAAAGGCCTAATGGTGAAGCAGTTGTATATAGCACTGTATGACAGCCGGAAACTGG